ATATTTTTTAAAAAGAAACATTGTATATTGAAAGATTTCAAATTCATCCAAGAAAAAAAATAATAAAAGACCCAACAACTGAAGGGCCAGAACTGAGCAGCAGCCAAAACGCAAGGAGCTAACGATTCCTGGCTCTTTGTTCCTGTATCCATAGTGGGATCAGCATCAGGAGCTGGAGGAATATTTCAGGATGGACTGCTATCCTGGCTATGATGCCTGAGGGGTCCTGGCTGGCAGATTCAATAAGGAACCCCACGTGTAGGCATCATTTGTTTTATTTTTATTTTATGTGTATGCGTGTATTGCCTGTGTGTAGGTAAGTGCACCCGTGTTGTGCAAGGCTCACAGACGTCAGAAGAGGCTGTTGGATTCCCCTGGGACTGGAGTTATGGACAGTTGTTAGCTGCCATGTGGGTGCTAGGATTCGAACCCGGGTCTTCTGCAAGAACCACCAGTGTTCTTAACCGCTGAGCCATCTCTCCAGCCCCTTGGCATGGTTCTTTATGTGCTGGCTGTATGTACTCTCTGCAGCCCCAGCAACAAACACGCCTTGACTATAGTTACTGGAGCTAGGACTGTGGTCTTCAGTTTGCCTCACCATTGAGAACAGAATCTACAAGATGCTCCTCTGCAGCAGAGCAGAAGGGTCTGAGTGGTCAGCTCTCCCTATCCAGCCCCTGGTAGTTGCTGCCTACAGCTAAGCTTCTCCAGATGCCCTCAGAGGTATCTCACCCCCGGGGGTATGCTGGCTGGAACAGCCACAGCCTGGACTAACTGTGTATCTTGGAACTCTGACTAGACACAGCATCCTTCCTCCACTCCACAGAGCTCCCTGCAGTCTTAGAAGCCTTCCAGAAACTCTAAGTCTCCATCACAACATCTGGGTACCAAGACAGAGGTAGCATTGCAGATGCAAAACAGAGGGCCAGATCCCAGGGGGTATTTTTGCTGGGTACTTCCTGTCCCCTGCATGCACCATCTCCTAATCTGCTAGAGGTGGGCTCTTGTTTTCACTGAACACACACTCATGTTTCATACCCACATCATGGAACAGGTGAATGTCTGTCAGTGTCTGCCGGTGCCAGCCGGCCACGATGGACAGTACCTGAAAGGGGGAGTGAGGACTGAAAGAAAAAATAAGAGACAGAAAAGATGCTTGGGAGGACTGACAGTAGTGACTGCAGCCCTGGTTTATGTCAGCTCCACCTTTTTATACAGAAGAACTCAATTAGTTTCAACAGCTGTTTTTCCCACCTGTACCTGAGGGTCAAGGAGCGGTCAGATACTTCAAAGGCTTCTTTGATCTTTTTGTTTACCACTATTGCCTCCAGGTCAGGTATTGTGAGGCTCTCCATATAAACACATTCCTCCTGAATAGGCAGATTAGATACTGGTGTGCAGAACACAAACTCAGTAAACAAGCCTGTCACAGCTCAATGTACATAATAGACTAACAGCTCCCAACAAATGTCCAGTAAAGGGATGAAATTACTGCTCATGCTCATGCATGTTTCTTCCAGCAGATGCTGCCCACTATGGATGGACCCATCCTTTCCACCCTTAGCATTGTGAGACTTGTTTTGTTTGAGGCAGTTTCACTATGTGGCCCCGGCTAGACCTGAACTCTCCATTCTCCTAACTCAGTTTCCCACATACTGTAATTACAGGCATAGGCCACCAGCATTGAAGACTTTTTTTTTTTTTTAATGTGTATGAGTATATTGCCTGCATGTAGGTAGGTGCACCTGTGCCATGCAATACTCGCAAAGGACAGAAGAGGGCATCAGATCCCCTGGAACTGGAGTTACAGATGGTTGTTAGCCACCATGTGGGTGCTGGGACTCGAACGTACATCTCCTCAAGAACAGCCAGTGCTCGTAACTGCTAAGCCATATCTCCAGCTCCCATTGAAAGACTTTTTACATTATTTTATTTTTGAATTTATGTAGGGCTGGGCATTGTGGCTTATGCCTTTAATCCCAGCACAGGCAGATCTCTGTGACATCAAGGCCAGCCATCTATACAGCAAGTTCCAGGCCAACTGGGTTTTCAGGAAGATCCTGTCTCAAAACAAAAATGTATGTTTGTGTCTGCAGTGTGTGGGGGTGCCTACGGAGACTAAAGAGCATTGGATTCCCTGGAGCTGGAGTTACAGGTGGTTGTGAACCATCTGTTGTGGGAGCTGGGAACCAAACTTGGGCCCTCTGGAAGAACAGCAAGTGCTCTTAATCACTGAGTTATTACTCCAGTTCCAAGACTTTTTTTTTTGGTCTTTTTGAGACAGGGTCTCCCTATAGTCCCAGTTGGCCTGGAACTCACTATGTATACCAGCCTGGCCTTGGACTCACAGAGACCCACCTATCCACCTGCCTCTGCCTCCCGAGTGCTGGGACTGAAGGTGTGCGCCACCACGCCTGGCCAACTTTTTTTTAAGATTTATTCTATTTTTAATTAAGTGGATATGGGGGTAGGGGTATGTGCACATGTGAGTGCAGTGCCCACGGAGGCCAGAAGAGGGCATCAGATTCCTTGGAGTTGTAAAGCAGCTGCGAGCCATCTGCTGTGGGTGCTGGAAACCAAACTGGGGTGCTCTGTGGAAGCAGTATTACGTGCTCTTAACTACTGAGTTCCTATCTTGGCTTTCCTCCATGACGGACTATAATCTCTAAGCTAAAATAAACCCATTCCTCATCAAGTTGCTTGTGGTCATGGTGTTTATCACAACAGAGAGCAAACTAGGACACCCATCTTACATAGTAGGCTGAGAGACATTAAAAGCTCAGGTCAAAATCACCTGGCCCTGGCCTCACCCAGTCACTCTTTCCCCCATTTCTCCCTCTCTATATTCCTACAAGACAAAGTAAGAGCAACCTGTGCCGGGCCCACCTTGGCCCCAGCAAGGCCAGGACATTTAAGTTAGCCTTTGAGCTGTCTTCCTTAAATAACAGAGACACATGGGATGTGTTGACTTCTCCTCAGAAGATGCAAACGGCCAGAGGGAAAGGGGGGATGGACTCTCAGTCTGGGGGTCAGAACGGAAATCCAGTCCAGAGCTGTGACTCCAGGACACACTATAGCTCCAACCCACTTCATGGTGTAGCCGCCTCCCTGGGGCGTGAGCACTGTCCATCTCTGCTCCCAGGAGGGACAAAAGGCCCTGTGAGAAGGGTGTCAGGGCAGCAGGGATTCACAGAAGCTGGCAACTCTGGAGTATCTCATTAGAACTGAAGCAGTTTTGAGGTTTTGAAAGGACCACATTTCACAGCAAAGATACTAAGATGACAGATGGAGACCAGGTTCCTGAGTTAGAAGCTTTAAAATCCATTCAGGATGGCAAAGGTATCTCGGACTCTTGCCAAACCTGGATGAGCACTCAACTTAGAGCTCAAGCGGTAGAAGCTGCTGATTACCCCAAACCAGACCCCCTCAAGTCTCTCAAGCACCCTAGACAACAGGTTTCCACCACAGGCGGACTACCGAGCTGTCTCAGAACCTGCCCCCACTCCACTCCAGTTCTGTCCAGGCAACTTCCATCTCCTAAGTCAAAGTTAAAAACACAAGGGAACAGAATCCAACTAGTTAAAGATCACACCATATTTTCTGACAGGATGTGCCAGGTCAGGTCAGAGACTTGAAACACCCAGGGGTCCCTTTCTGTTCCCTTGGGAGAGAAACACCTCTCACAAACCTCAGAAAGAATGAACTGCTTCATGGGGAGCCCAGAAGGGGACAACCTGTTGCAGTAGCAGAACAGGCTGTTTCTCTCTCTCTCTCTCTCTCTCTCTCTCTCTCTCTCTCTCTCTACTAGGCATACTCTCCTCTCACACACACAGACACACACACACACACAGTGGGAAGCACTGGCCCACAGGCAGTTGTGCTGGTAGTAACTGTCACCTCACCAGGCAGCAACCTCTCTGACAAGTCCTCGTACGAGGTCGGCCTTTAGTGTAGACCTTAATTTCCCACAGGAAGGTGGATGTAAACATGTCTGCCCTCTGCAGACAGGCTCTCATCCCCTCAGGCAGGTGTGTCTGGGATGTTAGCAATGTAAACTACATGTCAACTATATAATCTGTGAAGAAGTGGGGTGGGAGTGGGGGCAAAGGGTTCTCTCTCCATCTAATACCGCAGATACTTTATCACACAGCTTAAGATATGTGGAAACTCCCAGGTTTAGGGTGGGAGGACAATGGCCACTAGTTCTCAAGCTCATTCTGTGGCGCAATCCATGCTCCACAAGAACATCATGAGCAGCCTCAGGAAATCAAGACACCCCAGTCAAGCCAGGCATGGTGGCACATGCTAAGATGGTGGAGAGAGAGAGAGAGAGAGAGAGAGAGAGAGAGAGAGAGAGAGCGAGAGAGAGAGAGAGAGAGAGAGAGCGAGAGAGAGAGAGAGAGAGAGAGAGCGAGAGAGAGAGAGAGAGAGAGAGAGGAGAGGAGAGAGAGAGAGAATGAGAGAAAACACGCTACGAAGACAAGACTGCCTGTAGGCACAAATTACCAGTGCTGGACAGAGAGGTTCCAGAGGCTGCTGGAAGGGAGCAGATCACACGGGAGTATGATACATTAGTGCTGTGAGGTTTAAATGTGGGTCTTGGATCCTTCACCCAGCAGAACAGGCCAGGTGCCTCCCCCAGACCCCATCAGTGTTTGAGTCTGTGTATATAATGTATAACTTGATACTCTGAACATCAGAGGCTATTTGGTGGTGGCACCAAACTGCAGCAGGACACGGCCAGCAGCAGGTACCCCAGATCCACCATCGGGGCTAATCCCCGACAACAGGGAGCCCAGGACTGGAAAACGCACAGGGAACAGTTTCGAGACTTTCCCTGCCACTCAACTTTGCCCCTGGTAACAGATGACGAAAGAATTCAGACATGCGAGTGGCATTTCTAAGGCAACCAACAGTCAGATGGGGGGCATGTTCTCCCAGACACAGTCCTCTCCTGCCATCACCAGATGTCAATGCTGAAATGAACACACTTATAAAAGTATGGCTGTATATCTTTACCATTTATTTCTTAAATCTTATTCAAAATATTAAATAATACAATTTCAGATATGAAAAAAAAATTACTGCAATAAAACAGTTCAGGTGTACTGCCCTGCGTGGCCTCCCTTCAGTCGGCTGTCCCCAAGAGGCAGGCCACAGCGCTGCTTCCCCCACAGACCTGGAGCAGCAGCCACTGGCTTGCCCAGGCTCTCCAGAGTTACAGTGACGCTGGCAAGTCAAGCACAGTTCAGATGACGTAGTCACATTCTTGTAGACTCTTTATGACACAGAACAAGCCAACATGATACACAGTACCATTTCCAGTTGCTGAAAAGGCGTGACAGCAGGAAGGTCATTCCACGTGTCTTCTGTTTGCAAATTTTATTCAGATTATTCTTTTAATTTGAAAGACCGAAATACAGCATGACTAAGTGAAAATGGCCTCTAAATCAGATTCACTGTGTAGTAAGAAACAGACTGAAAAGAAAATCTGCTATAAATTTTAAATTGCTCTTTGAAACTTTGGAACTTGTGCTACAACTGATCGCTAACTAAAAATAACTGTTCATACTTTACCAGTTTCTACTCTAAATTTAATTCAGTAATTCAACCCAAAAACGGTACCTAAAACCTCATCTGTGTTCACTGCAAACTGCAGTCTCTTTTACCAGGACCTCTGGACACACTGACACGTGACTGGACTAAGCAGCAGCACGCTGGCTCACAGCGTTCTAACCGTCTACCCCAGAGCAGGTTTCCCCTTATTACATTTACTCTGCGTGTGTGCACACACGAACGGATACGTACGTATGGAGGCACACTCATGACACGGCATGCGTGTGGAGGTCAGAGGATAACCTACAGGAGTCAGCTCTCTCCTTCCACCATGCAGTCCCAAGGATCGAGCTCAGGCTGCCAGGCTGGGTAGCAGGTATCCTCTGCTGACCCATCTCACCTCCCCTCACAGCAGTTTTGAGAGAGGAAAAAAAAAATGTTACTTTAATACAAAGCATTATCACAATATCCTTGTACATTAAAATTTGGGACCATAAGAAAATAAATTTGTGTTAATATATAATATTTGGAACTGGTGAGGTGGAGCACACCTGTGATGCCAGCACTTGGGAGGCTGAGGCAAGAGGATCAAGAGTTTGAGGCCAGCCTGGCATAGTGTTGCACACCTTTAATCCCAGCATTCCAGCTGGCAGAGGCAAGCAGATCTCTGTGAGTTCAAGGTCAGCCTGGTCTACATGGAGTTCCAAGCCAGCCAGGGCTACACAGTGAGACCCTGTCTCCAAGAAACAACAAAAGCTTACACAATAAAATAAAGAGAGAAAGCCAGTATGGACGACAGAGTAAATGTGGATGGGGCTAGGTTTGCTAGATTTAATTACAGGTTCAGCATCTCTTAAAAGTAGCACTACTTCCAGAACAACAAATGGAAAATAGTAAAACACTAAACATAAATATAAGTAATGTTTAACGCACATTCCAGACACCTGATTGAATTCAGCTCTAAAGTATAGATAAAAAATTATATACTCCTTGTATGTGACATTTAGTTCCCAAAGCACCAAGGCAAAAGAGAGAGCCACCTCTCACTTAAGTACCAGTTGCCTGTGGAAGACATCTGCACGCTATCATATAAAGTCAAGCAAACAAAATTACTTAATAAGCAAACTCAAACCACAGTGCTTTAGAAAATATAATCATTGGTGATCTTCAGGGAAGGCATGGCCTCGTTCACGTTCTGGTCTAGACGATGGTACTCCACCGTTTTAGAACACAAGCCATCACGCCACTTCCTGCTTTGAACTAGGAGGAAAATCTGCAACAAACAAAATTAATCAGTCATGTGAAAGAAAAAAAGATCTGGCAAAAGTTTTTATAGCAGTGTAGTGTCTCTCTTAGGTCTCCAACACAAACACGTTTCACATGTCTCTGAGGAGGTCATCCTAGGGAAGGCCCAGCACCAAACACAGTATCACCACATTCAATCTGCCTACCTACAAATACAAGGCAAGTGAGAGGTCAGTCACAAATAACTCTAAGGGTTTGTCGGCCAACTACTCTGATAAGGGTCATCAACTCTCAAAGCTGGAAGGCGTTCTGAAATAATCTGGTCCCGTTTTACCAGTGAACCTTAAGAAATGAGTAAGAAACTGAAGGCCTCCAAGAGGAAGACAGATTGACCCAGGCAAGTTCCAGGTCAAGAACTAAGATTTCCTGAGCACTGAGTATGAAAAAGGAAACTGTGTTTGGTCTCCTTTAAGATTCTGAAAAGCTTAACCACTCAGCTCTGGAACTGTGGGGACCTGAGATACACCCTCCCATTAAATGACCTGACTGGATTCTTAGACCTCTTCAGCTTCCCAACACAAATTCTAGCACAGAAATGCTCATCCCAATGTTATTTCTGAACCAAAATTTGCAATTACCTAAATGTCCAATAAGAAAAGTGATAAATGTCCAATAAAAAAGTAAACCATGTTCTTAATATGTTACAGGGGGGCTGGAGAGATGGCTCAGCAGTTAAGAACACTGGCTGTTCCTAAAGAAGACCAGGGTTTGAATCCCAGCACCCACACGGCAAGTAACAACTGTCCATAACTCCGGCTCCAGAGGATCCGATAGCCTCTTCTGTCCTCCGTGGGCAGTGCACGACATGGGTATACTTACCTACAAGCAGGCAATACACTCATACACATAAAATAAAAATAATAACATATTTTTTAGAAAAAGGAATACGTTATAGGAAATGCCCATAATCTGTTAGGCCATCGAGAGGCTCAGCAGGTGAAGGCACTTTATCACATAAGCTTAGTGACTGGAGTTGAATCTCTAAAACCCATGTAAAGGTAGAAGATGAGAACTCCACAAAGTTGTCCTGTGATTCCATCCTCATGTGCTCACATGCGCGTACACACACGCACACACACACACACACACAAATAAATGTATACAACCTTGGCCAGCAAGACGGCTTAGCAGGTGAAAGCCTGTGCCACCACGCCTTACTTCAGTACACACATATGTGTACACATACACAAATTAAAATATAATTTAAAATTTTTAAACATATAATATTTTTAAAAGAGACATTTTAGGTTGGGCATGGGGGCGCACACCTTTAATTCCAGCACTCAGGAGGCAGAGGCAGGCAGATCTCTGAGTTCCAGGCCAGCTGGGGGGCTTCAGGAAGACCGTCACCAAAAAAAAAAAAAAAAAAAAAAACCAGACAGACATTTTGTTTAAAGAATCAGCAGGCAGTCAGACACAGTGGCACATAGTTTATAATCCCAGCACTCATACGACAGAAGCAGAAAGATCTAAGTTCAAGGCCAGCCTGGGCTACACAATACACAAGACACTATCTCAAAAACAAGTAAATAAATAAATCACTGGACTTTGGGTTTTGTTTGTTAAGAAATAATAGAAGTCAATTTTAGAAGCATATGGAGCATTGTTTCTAATTTCTCAGAATAGACAAGGGACTTATGAACTCAGGACGCATCTCCACACTCTCATGACTGTGAGGCTGACAGCACGTGCAGGCCGAACTCACACACGCACCTTCCTTTTGTTGTGGTACGTAACATAAACAGCAGCTATGCAGAAAGCGAAGACAAGAAGATGGAGAAAGAAATGACTATCTTCCTCCCTGTCTGAGGACGGCAGCTTCAGAGTTTTCACTGACTCCTCAATGCCCACGTAGCCCCCGTTATCTTCCAAAGCCTCCTCGGGCTCCTCATCCCTGGGGTTGGTAGTCCAGTCGTAGTCTGCTTCTCCGTAATCTACATTGTCCAGAGCGTCTTTGGCTGGGGGAGGAGAGCTGTTGAGTGTGAGAAGATCCTCCTCCTCTATGCTGGGGTCCTCGTTGCCCTCGGCATCCTCCTCGGACACAGAAGGAGTGGCAGAGGGCGTGGGGGCTGCAGATGCCCCTCCACTCTTCCCTGTACTGGCTGGGGGAGGGAGAGTCGTGCTCATCTGGGAAACAAGTTTGGTGTAGTTTCTAGAGGTCACTTCATTCATAGTTGGAGGAGAAGTATCTGGGTTATATGCAGTATCGTCCGGATCTGAAAAACGAAGACATTACCCTAAAATTTCCAGCTTTTTCTCTACCAAGAGAAAACTATATTTACCTAATTTTGCACTAAGAATTTCTCTCTATATAAACTCCTGAAACTTTCTCTTAAGAACTAGTTAAGTCTCAATGAGTTAAATTTCTTCTTGATCAACTAATCTCCGATAGTAACTGCTTTGCTAGAGAGTTAACAATGTGAAGAGCTAAGGGCCCACCGCGGCACAGCTGCTGGAAGGACAGCACAGGTGTCTGACTTGTGTCTGACTTGAGGTCACAAGGCAAAGTCCACACAACCCTTCCCCATCCCACTGTTTTCCTTTAATAGAAAGTGGACTTCAGTCAGCTGGCCCAGGTTCCACCCCATCCCCAAAACAGACAGGGAAGAGGCTGATCCTGGGTCAAGGAAGTCACACACACACAAAAAATGGGAATTTGGAACTAATACCTTCAGCACTAGGAAACAGGTACTGAGAAGTTGCTCTTGTGCAAAAGCACCGATCCCCCCCCATCTGAGCCTGCAAGGTAACCAAGGAGGCTGGCATGTTGGGCATGCAAGGAGTGCCTAGCTAGCTCAGTTTGTCCCCATCAAGCTGAAGGCAAAGGTAAGTCACTGTCCTGAACCCTCAGGCACCCTGGATGCCATGAGAACAGAACCTCAAGGACGAGCATATGAGGCACTTACCCACCAGGAACAGAAGGACACCTCCTCAGGGGCTTCTGACCACCTTGCAGATCAGAGACCTCACCAGACCACACCTGGACCAGGACTGCTTAATTAGGTATATCTGTCTCCCCTCGCCCCACCCAATTCTTAAACCTAAAGCTCGTGTCTGTATTCTGAAAATGAGATTTGGGGCACTGAACCCCTTTCTCAGTTTCCCTTCCCTATATGGCCACATTAAATAATTCGCTGCTTTCACCATTACTTGACCCTAACTGGCATGGGGGGCAGATGGTCAAGCCTAGCTTCCTGGGGCTGCTCAGGTACACACATATAAGAAATCTGAGACGCTACAAGCAAGCTGCAGACAGCACTTTTTAAGAACACTTTTCTTTTTTAAAATGGTATTTATAATTTTATGTGTATGAGTGTTTTGCCTGCATATATGTAAATGCACCACATGCGTGTAGTGCCCACAGATGCCAGAAGAGGACACCGTATCCCCTGGAACCAGAGTTAAAGACGAAGTGTTAGCCGACATGAGTGCTGGGAACTGAACCTGGGTCCTCTGCAAGAACAGGCAATGCTCTTAACTGCTAGAGTTCCTCCAGACCCCACAGAGAGCAGTTATAAGTGATACTTGAAGACTCCCTCTTCAAAAAATAATAAAAAAGCAAATTTCTAAAGGATAAGAATCAGAAACTAGAACTTAAAGTTAAGTGGCAACTAGACAATTTTAAAGCTTGGAGAAGGCAATCTAGGTATAGAAGATTAAACCAAATGCATGCATATTTTCCAGTCCTGTGCCTCCACCTACCCAGTGTTAATTACAGAAGCAACCCTATACTCTATGGAGAATCAAGAGACAGTCCACAGATGAACACCTGTGGAAAAGCAACAGTGTTCACAATCTGTAACTGGATGCAGCATCTACTTAAGAGCTTCAAGGACATCTGTTATGCTTAATGCCATGCAGGATCTAAACACCCTCAGATAAAAATAAATAAGATGTTCCACAGAAATGAGATAGACAGGCACAGGCCTTCACAAACACATTCATGTACAGAAGACAAGTGTCTATATAAATGCACTCATGTAGGTAGCACCATTAACATCTATTTAGTACAGAGAGAGGAAAAAAGAAAAAGAAACCTAGCTTAACTGAACTGAACAGTCTCCCAGAAAAAAAAAAAAAAAATTCTTAACTAAAAAAATGTTTCAAAAGACAGTGTAGGGTTTGGCTGTCAGGCTCTGATTCGATCCCTAGCACTAGAAAAATAAACATTAAAAGATAGATTACAGGGGCTGGAGAGATGGCTCAGTGGTTAAGAGCACTGACTGCTCTTGCAGAGGACCTGGGTTCGATTCCCAGCACCCACATGGTGACTACAAATCGTCCTTAACTCCAGTTCCAGGGGAATCTGAAGCCCCCTTCTGACCTCCACGGCACTGCACCAGCATAGCACAACACAGGTGCACTCACCTACATGCAGGCAATACACTCACACACAAAAATAATACATAATTGCACGACATGGGTACACTCACATACATGCAGACAATACACTCATTCATACACATAAAATAAAAATTTTTCAAAGATAGATTACAGCCAGGCATGGCAGCACACTTACAATCCCAGCACCAAGAAGGTGGCGGCAAAAGACCAGCTCAAGGCAAGGTTTCATGAGTCTCTCTCTCTCTCTCTCTCTCTCTCTCTCTCTCTCTCTCTCTCTCTCTCTTTCCCTCTCTCTCTGCCACAAAACACAAAATGCTGGGACTACAGGTATGTGCCACCATGCCTGGTCTGGGAGATATTTATTCCTAAAAGCCCCCAAACGGAAACAAGCGGACACCCCTCAGCAGATGATGAAGCGCAGAGCACCCACAAATAGTGATTAAAAGGAGCCAGCTACTAACACATGCAGCCGCCTGCTGGAGTCCTCAGAAACATTTTGTGGAATGAAAATGTGCCAGAGGTGAAGGCAGAGGCAGGAAGATCTTTGAATTGAAGACCTATCAGGTCTACACAGCGAGGTTCCAGACCAGCCAGGGCTACATAGTAAGACCCTGTCTCCAAAACAAAAGTCCAATTCCAAAGTTTCATGCTGCAGATTCCATTTATTTAAGACTCTCTAATGACAAAATTATAAAAATGGAAATTTTGCGGCTGCCAAAAACTTGGGGGGTGAAGAACAAGTGTGAAGATGGAAATGCCCATATGACGGGGTGATGTCAGCGCCCTGCTTATGACACTGACAAGTCACTTAGCCTTTTTCAAGAAGTTACCGGGGAGCCAGGTGTGGTGGCACACATCTTTAATCTCAGTACTTGGGAGGCAGAAGCAAGCAAATCTCTGTGAGTTCAGGCCAACCTGGTCTACATAGCGAGTTCCAAGTCAGCTGGGGCTAAAGTCAAAAGGCGTTATGCTGGAGAAGAGTGAGCAGAGAGGACAGAAGATCCTTACGTTATGATTGCCTCAAACTAAAAGGTTTGATTTAAAGAAATGAACTTCAAGCCAGGATTGGTAGCACTGTAATCCAAGCACTTGGGAGGTAGACAGGAGGATCAAGAGTTCAAGGTCATCCTAGGCTACACACAGGAAGTTGGAGGTCAGCCTGGGCTACATAGACCATGTCTCAAAAAAAAAAAAAAAAAAAGAATTCAATTTCCACAGTCCACTTAAAAACAAAGGAACAAAACAAGAGCCCGCCAGCCTTGCCTACTACAGCTCCACTTCAAGTGACGGGACAGCACAAACACCTTTCTAGCTACTCAAACCAAAAACCTTAGCATTGCCACGTTTTTAAATATTATTTATTTTTATGTGTATGAGTGTTTTGCCTGCATGTATCTAAGGGCACTACATGTATACAATGCCCACAGAGGCGAGACGAGGGCATCAGATCCCTGGAAATGAAGTTACGGACAGTTGTTAGCTGCCATGTGGGTGCTGGGAACTGAACTCAGGTCCTCTGCAAGAGCAGCCAGTGCTCGTATCTGCTAAGTCATCTCTCCAGCTTTTAAGATGTATTTTATTTTTCATTTTGTGTCTGTGTGCATGTATGTGCACCATATGAGCATGGTGCCCTCAGAGGCCTGAAGAGGGTAGAACTGGAGTTATAGGCAGCTATGAGACACCTAATATGGGTGCTGGGAACCAAACTTGGGTCCTTACGAACCAGTGCTCATAACCAATGAGCCACCTCTCCAACCCAAGAGCTATCACTTTCTTTTTTTTTCTTTTTGGTCTTTTTGAGAGAGTCGCCCTGTAGCCCCAGCTGAGCTATCAGTTTCTTAACACCTCAAATCCAATCTACCTTTAAAATGGTCGAGATGGTGAAACAGTTTGTCAGGAACCTGACAATCTGAGTTTGAGCCCCAGATGGAAGGAGAGAACCAACTATATAAGTTGTCCCCTACCTCCATACACATGCTGTGTCGTGTGTCCCCGCTTCCATACACATGCTGTCATGTGTGTGTCCCCTGCTTCCATGCACATGCTGTCATGTGTGTCCCCTGCTCCCTCCACACAAATAAATAAATAAATGTCATATATTCAGGATTTAAAGGCTTTTCATGTCATGCTGTTGCCTAGTCCAAGCCACCGCCACCTCAGCCTTGCAAGTGACCCACTGTTCCACCTGAACCACTGTCTATACTCAACACAGCTGCCACTACCCTGTTGAAACTTAGATCACATAAACTCACTCCTTTCTCCCAAAAGCCAAAGTCTTAAGAGTAGTCTACAAGATCCCACATGACAGCTGGCAAGACAGTTCAGTGTTTGGTCTCCGTACCCACATGGTAAAAGAAGAGAACTGACTCCCAAAAATTATCCTTTGTTCTCCCTACACACACACTGTGGCATGTTGTTTATAGGTAGGACTGTCCTCTGACAGGCCATCTTCCCAAACTCAGTTAGGACCACTTGCCTAGGTACCACTGCTGAGTTTAATAACTGTTCATACCCTGTAAGAAGGAGGGGCAGGGAGAGTCAAGAGAGTCCAGACACACCTCCCAACCAACCAGTTGGCCCTAGTTGTACAAGGCCTGGGGGAGGGGCTAAGGTATATAACTGGGGAAGCCTAAGGGAGGCTCTCCCTTTTCATGCAGCTATGGGGAAACCGCCATCTAGTCTTTTTTTTTAAACATTTTATTTATTATTTTTCATTTTATGTGTATACATATATTGCCTGCATGTACGTAAGTACACCCGTGTCATGCAATGCCCACGGCGGACGAAGAAGCTATGGACAAAGAGGCTGTCGGAGCCCCTGGAACTGGAGTTATGGACAGTTGTTAGCTGCCATGTGGGTGCTGGGATTTGAACCTGGGTCTTCTGCAAGAACAACCAGTGCTCTTAACCGCTGAGCCATCTCTCCAGTCCCCACCATCTAGTCTTGGGTGAAGGCTTTGCAGTGCTGCTTTGGAAGGAGAAGGGGAAGCACCCACATCCCTGTAAGTAAACCCTCTCCCACTGCTCTGTAAGTTCTTAAGTCCAATAAACTCACTGGTTTCCCAGGCTGCAGGTTTGTCCTTAGGATCAAGGGAGGGGTCAGATGTTGTTCCACACAGCCCCCACTAGGAATTTTTAATAGCACACATGTGCACCCACCCACATACATACATAAGGGCACACACGGCCTGACACACAGCCTGACACACGGCCTGGAGAGATGGCTCAGTGGTTAAGAACACTGGTTGCTCTTGCAGAAGACCCAGGTTCAAGTCCCAGCACCCACATGGCAGCTAACAACTGTCCATAACTCCAGTTCCAGGGGATCCAACAGCCTCTTCTGTCCTCCCCAGGCATTGCACGACACAGGCGTACCTACCTACATGCAGGCAACACATGGATACACATAAAATAAATTTATTTTTTTAAAAAAGGACACACACACAATAAATAAATGTAAGAAAATTAAATTTAAAACCTGCCTGGTCCAGCCTGGGTCCCTGCTCTCACCTCTTACAAGTCTCCCAAACTGCTGTCCCCACTGCCAGCCTCCCAGGTGGCAGCACTCAGTGAATGAATACTGCACGCACACTTGGCCTGTCTCATCACTCTCTGCATACTGCATCTCCTCAGAGGCCCTCCCCTGGGTCCCAGCCCCCAGAACCCCACTTCTATCACCAGCACCCACTCTACTCATAGGTTAATGCCAACACCCAGCACCAAGTCACTGAGAGAAAAACTTGGAAGCCACACACAAATGCTACACAGGAAAATAAGGTAAGATTCTCCCAGATCTCCAACTCCTTCACATGAGAAGAGCCATTCAGTCAGATGAAAAGAGAAGTCAGAACAAAATAGCAACTCGGACTTTATGGATTTCACTGCTTAGCTTCATTAACAGACAGCACCCGAGATGTCTAAATCTTCCATTTGTATCCTGTCCTGATTGGTATTCCTCTAGTTCAAACAACATTCAGAATGTTTTTTATTTTATGTGTATGAGTGTTATCTGCATGCACGTAAGTGCACCCGTGCATTGCAGTGCCTGAGGACAGAAGCATTGGATCCCCTGGAACTGGAGTTATGATGGTTAGCCGCCATGTGAGTGCCAGGTCTTCTGCAAGAACAGCCAGTACTCTTAACCGCTGAGCCATCTCTCTAGCCCTACCATTCAGATTTTTAATTTGGACGGTGGGGGGCGGGGTTATGTACACATGAGTGCAAGTGGATATAAAAGCAACAGATTTCCTGGAGCTGGAGTTGCAGGAGGTTGAGCTGCCCAACATGGGTGCTGGGAATCAAACTTGAGTCCTGTGCAATAGGAGTACACCCTCTTAACCACTGGCCATCTCTCCAGCCTCCAAACTTAATATTTAAAAAATAAAACTTTTAGCCAAACATGGTAGGGCACATCTTTAGTCCCAACACTCAGGAGTCCCAACACAAGTGAAATTTGAGGCCAGCCTGGCCAACATGATGAGTTCCAGGCCAGCTGAGTCTACAGGGAGACCCTGTCTCAAAAACAAAAAATAAAAATAAAAAATAAAACTTTAGGTCTGTTATGACTTAGCAGTTAAGAGCATCTGCTGCTCTTACAGAAGACCCAGGTTCAGTTTCCAGCACCCACATGGAAGTTCACAACTACCTGTAACTCCAGTTCCAGGGAATCCGATGCCTTCTCCTGACCTCTACAGGCATAGCATACATATGGGGCACATACATATGTGCAAATGCTCATACACATAAAATTAAAATTGAAAAATAAATAAAAACTTTTGTTGGGTGGGGTGGCTCACACCTGCAATCCAGCATTTAGAAGCTAAGGTCCACCTGAGCTACAGAATAAGACCCTATCTTAGCTAGACATGGTGGCACACACCTTTAATCCTAGCACTTAGGAGGCAGTGGCAGATGGATCTTTGTGAGTTCGAGGCCAGCCTAGTCTACATAGCCAATTCCAGGTCAGCTGAGGGTACAGGGAAACCCTGTCTCAAAAAGACTTAAAAAAAGATTCTTTTA